TCACACTTTTCTCGATCGGTCGCACCCAATTCAGACACCTGCCTTCATAGAAAGCCCCCGCTGACGTCACGTGGCCGCGTCCTCTCTCACAGACGATGTATTGTTTGATTGACATGCTGTAACATTCCCCCTTTGTGACTTTAAAGTATCTCTGCAATGTGGCAGATGGATTTTTCAGAAGCCGCACCCAGTCGTATCCGCCTCCATCAGCAGCCTTCTGTTGCCTCTGAGGACAGAAACGCCAGCACAGCGGTCCTACTTATTACATTCAGCTCTTTGTTTCATGGTGATGGAAGCACTGTTGTGACTGACTTTACACTATTTTACTATCATACTTTTTTAAAGTCTCTTTTTCTCAAAGGATCTTGAATGCATCATGACTGCTGCAGTCACTCTGCAGGGCTTCTCTTTGCATAATTATCTTCTCACTCATTCAGATAGAAAACATGTTAAACCATCATAAAAACACAGGAGTCTCTGAGGCTGCTGGAAACCAACTATTTCCTTGTCCATCATGAAACCAACACACCCAAACGTTCCAATTAATGTTGCTTGTAGAACAATGGAACGCAGCCAAAGAGTCAAAGAGCAACTCAGCCAGTTATTCGAGACCAGTTCTTCCACCATGACAAACCGCTTTTACCAAAGCTCCTTCATCAAAACAGATCTAGAGAATCGGGCTGGGAGGAAAAAGTTGTGGAGATTCATTCAAATTGACTTCTTTGAGGGATGTCCCTAATTTTCGTGTGTATTCAGTCATCACTTTTTAAAAGAAAGCTGTCAACACAATGTCAGGTTGTTGTTGTTTTTCCCCCACATGAGCTCAATCAACAGATTTCAGATAGATTTGTGCACAGCAGCAGTGACACACCCTCAGTCTGTGACATACAGAGAAGCATGCAGCCCGGTCGTGTGCGTGTGCGTGTGCGTGCGCGTGGGTCAGTCGGCAACATCCAGGTCTGAAAAGTGAAGCTAAGGTAGCAGTGCCTTAAAACTGCATTCTCTCTAAAGGCCAGCAGGGGGCGACTCCTCTGGTTGTATAGAAGTCTATGAGAAAATGACTCTACTTCTCTCTTGATTTATTACCTCAGTAAACATTGTAAACATGAGTTTATGGTCTCAATCTCTAGTTTTAAGTCTTCTTCAATACAGCATGATGTTCATTTTGTAAAGTATGGTCCATTTAGAGTCAAACAGACCATAAAGCAGGTTGTGCTTTAGGGCGGGGCTACTTTGTGATTGACAGGTTGCTGCCACGACGTTGTCCAATCTTAGAACTTGAACCCTTTCACAGTGTGTTTTCAGTTCATGAAAGTTAGTTGTAACATGTTTGGTCGCCTTAAAAATGTCTTCTTCTGTGTTGTACTTAGCTCAACCCTTTCGTGTCATTTCTGGTTGCAAAAAAACAAGATGGCCAAAATACCAAAGTCGAGGCTTTAAATCCGTAGTTCAGTGACGGTGACTACACCCACTTCTTAAATAAAGTCTTTGATGTTGGTGCGAGATAAAGGTCAGTTGGTGTGTTTGTGTGTGTCAGAGAGAGAGAAACTGAGCGGCATACAGATGTTGATGTGTGTGCTGTGTGTTTCCGTGTTAAAATAAATGCTAAGTCACGCTAGCGTGTGTTTTTATGTTTGTTTTTATAGAGTGTAGAGACGCTACGAGAAAAGGACAAAAGACGAAGAGAGAAATGTAGAGAGGAAGAGTCGTGTCTATCTTTTAGCAGGTTTTTCCTGTGTCATCATTATATTAATCTGGTCACATGACTTTTTGTTTTTCTGCGGCCCTAAAAACCAGCAGAGCAGCAGTTTGATTGTGACCAACAGAGGAACAGCCCGTTTACAGTGTGAAGTTATTGATCTGTTGAATACGTATACATCATTAAATAATGAATTAACCAAATTACTTTCTCTTCAAAATCACAAAATTAAGTAACTTTCAAGCTCTAGTTAGAATGATAACAATATTTAAAGCATCAAGTCTTAAAGTTGTAATACTTCAGATTTGAATCAAATGAAACCCTGTTTTTAAAGTATCTGTGTTTTGCAGTTTTTCAGCAATAGCCACTGACCTTATGTGGCTCTATATTGTGCTTTTTTATTGTTAGTGGCGGAGTCCGCCACTCCGCATACACAAGGATTCACAGGAAACAATGCAGCATGAATATAAACCATATTAAATGGTGTCAGTCGGTTTTCTCTCCACTGTTTCTTTTGACACACAATGCTCATACGAATATACTATATATTACAGACAGTATTACAATATTACGGTCAGATGATACATCATCATCTAAATATTACAAATAAACTGACCAAGAGGCAACAAAAAGCAACCACGCTTGTCAGCCATGACTCTCGGGCTGGGCGATAATTCAATATGATGATTTATCGTCTTTCATTGGAATCATATCGGGATGAAATTATATTTTCATGTTAACGTGACACACAATTAAGTCCTCTTAATTGATAATAACAATTACACTAACTTACATTTCTCAGAAAATTGAATTGAAGTCAGTTTATGGGAATATCAGAGTGTAGTTAAAGACAAACAACTGGCTCAATCTGATGATACCTGTATAGCTGGCACTCTTTTATACTTTTTCTCTACGATTTCACTTGAAACTTGTTATGTTCAGTAGTACTACAGTTCTTATTAGAATTAGAAAATACTTTTCATTTGTCAAGTATTCAGCTCACACAGGAGTAAACAACATGCTTTACTATGTGGTTATTTCATATAGAGAATTTCTTTATTGAATTACCAGAAAACATGTCATATCGTGACGTATATTGTTATCCAGATGAGCATGAACTCTGAGTCGACATAAATATGTCAGAGATATTATTGACATATTTTCTGACTTTGGGTCCATCCGGCAGCAGAAGGCAGCATCACATTTGTCCCGTGACGAGATAATATTCATATAAGTAATATTACAGTACTGATAAAGATCTTAGTGTTTGTAACAGTATTTTTATATCTATGCTCTTTCTCTCTTTGCAGCACAATGAGTGCAGATGGAAAGAAAGAACCTCCTCCCTACCTCATACCAGGTAAACATCTATCTATCTATCTATCTATCTATTCATCATCATCATCATCATCATCAGACTGGCCCATTAACTCTTGTGTCCGTCTCTGATTGTTCCTCTCTCTACTTGTCCAGCTCCAGGCCAGGATCCGGCTGGTGTGGTGGTTTATCACACCCACACTCCCTTCAACCCCAACTCAGGCCAAAATGAGACCCCCGCTAATGTCTCGCCAGGTAACCTCACACCTGACGATACACTTCCTGGAAACGCACGTCAAAAGTTTTTACCTGCAATGTACTCAAGCACACAGTGAATTAAAGTTCCTGTTTCCTTTCCTCCTCGTTTTCTCCTCCTCCTCTCTCACTCCCTCCTCTGTCTGACCCTCCTTCCTCTTGTCTCTCCCTCCCTCAGTGTACACCAGCGGAGGAGGACTCGAGAATGGAGATGGCAAAAGGAGGTTTGTGAGCTATGACGGCAGGCTGGGGAATAACCCCGGCATGACGACCTGCACCTCCTGCCAGCAGCAGGTCATGACCAACGTCACCTACAAAGCAGGGACCTACGCCTGGCTGATGTGCTTACTCTTCATCTGCTGCGGGTGAGCGTGCGCTTCAGGCCGCTTATCGGTCACGTTAACATATGAACACACTGCAGACCGCCTTACACAACATCAGAGCTGTGAACATTATTTTTATTATAAGGGTCAGAAGAGGGTGAAAAATATTTATCGTTAATTTTAAGGGGAGGGTATACATTTAAGGACAGCAGATCCCTTTCAAACATGCAATTATAAATCTCTTGTAAGTAAACATTTCAATCATTCCTTGGGAGATTTAATGCAAACATTCATACAAGGACAACCACCCCGTCTCCGCACCAGGACTTTATTTTCCACAACAAAATGAAACAGATGTGGATCTTTACAGTCAATAATGAATGAACGTAATACCGAGAGCCCTTTTTTATTTTTTCAAAGCGAGCGTCCAAATAATGTGTACAGTCCTTAAAAAACCGGAACAACAAATGATCAACACTATACATGCATAAAACAAAGCAAATGTTTGCATACACTAACTGTGTGTGTGTGTGTGTGTGTGTGTGTGTGTGTGTGTGTGTGTGTGT